TAATGTTTGTATTTGCCCATTTCCTTGAGATAATCAGCCCTTTCAACTTTGAAAAGCAGAGTATCCTCGTAAATATTTCAGGAGTAAACGTCAAGTTCCGATTTTTGTTGTCTCTCTTTCAAAGATGGTGTTTTCGGGTTTCACTTCTTTTTTTATCCTCACCCGAGGACATTTTTCCATTTTTGTTCAGACAGAGTGGGAGGTGGGGAGAGAGAGAGAAACATGGGTGTGAAAGGGACACGTCGAGTGGCCACTTCCTGCACAACCCCAGCTGGGGCCGGGGACAAACCGAAGCCGAGGTACGCGCCCTTACGGGAACCGAACCCGGGTCTCTCTGGACCGTGGGCAGAGGCTCTAACCGCTGAGCCAAACCGGCCAGGGCAGGTTTTACTTCTTTAGATCAAGTGCGACTCTGCAGGTTGGATTAACAGGAGAGTCCAGAGTAACAACATGGGGTGCAGTGAGGTTGGGGTGCAGTGAGGTTGGGGTGGGGTTTATGGCTCCTCGTGCCGCAGGAGGAAAAGTGTTTCCACTCACAGCGAAGTGCCGAGAGTGAGCCTGAGCTGCTGCCGTGTGCCAGTGGGCAGTTCTCCTCCCCGGGGTCCACTCTCCGCCGTTACGTCCTCCTGCGGTCCGGGGCGCAGTGGTGGGGGGAGAAGCCACTGGGTGGGGCAGGCACGATTATGTTTCTTTGGTTTAATTTTTATTTAGAATGAGCCACTTCGATGTTTTTATAACAATTTCCTTAGTCCCCAAAAGTGAAATAAGCCAGCCCAATATTTGTGGAAAACAGATAAATTCTTCTAGAGAATTCTCATGTAATACGTATGCTTTCAAGGTCAACCACTTGGACCCATCCTGGAGTATTTTTATGAAACATACACTATTGAGGTTTTTCTGTTGTGTTTTTTTGTTTTTTTTTTTCATTTGGAATTTGCTGTCTCTGAAATTGATTTTTGTTAGAAAACTCAAAGTAAAAAGTAAAACTGTAACTCCAAAATCTTTCAACATTGTTTAATTACTTAAACATTATTTAATTTGGAGTCTTTGAAAGTAAGCGTTTTAACTTTATTTCACCTTAAATTACATTTTCTGTGTATGTGTAACTTTTCAGAGAATTACGAGAGCTCTCTGAAATCTACATAGCTTTAAAAAATATACTGACAAAATTAAAATGATTAAAATGCTGTCTGAAAATGGTCCATTTTTATTTTAATCAAAAATCTCTTAAAATGTGTTCATTATATATTAAGCTTTCCTGGTTGTTTAAAACACTTTCAAAGCATAGGGGTCATTTCCTGTATACTTTTCCTTTTTAAATTTTGGTAAAATACCCATAAGATAAAATGTATTGTTTTAACTATTTTGTACATTTTTTAATCTTGAAAGTTGATTGTGGTCATTATTGCTCAATCTGTTGCATTCAGTGTGTTTACTAGCGTGATGGAACATTTTCCGAGCCTTCTGACCTAGTGGTCAAACTTATTTCTTAAATCCGTGGTCTAATTTAAGAATATCAAGATATCTCATTTAAGAATACTCAGATTTGCAAGATTTTTCTCTATTGATTTCATGTTATCTAAACATGGATCTTTAGGGAACATTTGTGTCAAGATGTTGGACATGGTGGTGGTTTTGTAGCAGTAGATGGATCGGTGGTATTTGGTGCCTTTAGGACCCTCGCATCATGAACACTTGGTAACCTCCATGCCCTCCACAACCTTAAGACACTGTTTTAATATTAGTATGTTAATCCTTTAGTATTAAAGACAGAGTTCTTCTCATGTCTTTAATTAACATCACATTCTGATTTTTCCCGTTGCCATATTTGCCACTGCATGGTCGCTGTCATGATGCACTTTCTTTGTCAAAGACTCGAGGTGACTAGTTAGGGGACCAGGCTGGACTCTGGAAAGGTGTTCCATGTGGCATCCAGTGTCCCCTGTGGAAGGCACAGCTCCCATTTCCTGAGACCTTTTCTGAACACCTCCCCTCTCCCTTTCACACTTAGAATACTTTTAGGCTCCCTCCACCTGCGCTGTGCTGGCAGCGGGAACGTGGAGGCACCAGGCCAGTCCGGTAACATAATTCGGAGGTGGAGACACGCAAAGTGTATGCTTGAAAAACATCAGATTGGCCCCAGGGAACGACACGCGTCCCTTCCTTCTGCCTTTTCCGAGGACCCAGCCAGGCCCTTCTCCTACCCTCTCCCACAGAGGTCTTCTCAAACCTGTCTCCATCAGTGTCTGAAACTGTAGTGGGTTTTTCCTTTAACTTTTTCTTGCCTTTCTTATTACACGAGTAAAACCGAAGAGACAGTGATTTTGTGAATGTCTTCGTATCTTCATTCCCAAGGCCCAACACAGTAACTAGAAGATATATATATATATATATATATATATATATATATATATATATATACATTTTTTTGAATGAGTGAATGAATAAGTCCGCTTCATGGAGTATACCTTTTAAAATCAACCCTTTACAGCTGCCGTCATGTTTCTCTCTGTGCCCTGATGTGTTTGAAGGAAATGCAAGCAGACGTTAATGTCATTGAGTGTCGCACGTAACTCAAGGAAAGAAGCAGATACCAAGAACCCATCGATTTTGCAGCTGCACACTTGTCAATATCATGGGTGCTGCTGTGCCCAGTAATCTGACTTTGGTAGCTGGAGCCCAGAGTGCATGTGGTATTTGCCAGTGCCGCGCCCTCTCAGTGTCAGGGGTGCTCACCTCTGTGCCACTGTCGAGGTGCAGCCTCTGGGAGGGCAGGACCTGCCCTGAGACACGCCCCGCATTCCTCACCCGCCCCGCTGCTCCCTGCGAGCTGTGCTCACGCAGAATGCCTCCACCTGGGGGCAGAAAGCTCTGGTTAATGTTAACTGTCATTTCGAGAAAGCAGAGTTGCTGTCAATGACGTTAGCAAGTCCCACCTGAATTACACAGAACATTGGCCCTATTGTCAGCGAAGGGGCGGCGTGGAGTTTGGGGTTAAACCCTGATCCCACCACCCAGCAGCTGGTCCGTGCCTTCCTTTCTCCATCTGTGAACCGGGGCTGCGGACGCCTAGGTGGTCACGCTGTTGCAGACGTAAACAGCTGCCGGGCGGGCGTCGAGCACTGTGCCCGGCAGAGCGCAGGTCAGCGGGCGCCTCCCTGCAGCAGCAGCTGCGGTTCTTTCTGCTCCGACGAGCTCTGAGCCTCCTTTTCTTAGCTAATTGTTAGATGAACTAATTTCCGTGTTCGGCAAAATCTGAACACTGTGATGAGCCTAAACAAAGCGAAGTGAGTGTCTCAACCTGCCAGCGATACTACATGGTGGTAGTTATTTGGACTCGCACCATATTGGACTCAGCCTCTACGGACTGGCCGTGTGCAAGGAAGAGAGAGAGACCCGCCTTCTTAAGAGTTCGCTCAGACTGAGGTTAGTTCCTGTTCAGGATGGTTTTCCATTGGGGGGGTCCTCGTTCCCGTGGGCCCGGAGCACAGGGAATGTCCTGGGTGTGCCTTCCTGAGTTGAGGCTGGGAGGTGCGCTGTGCTGGGACTCCCACGAGACGCTACTGCTTCAAACGCAGAGTTCAGTGGAAATGAGCAAGCCACGGGGCCACGGGGCCACGGAACCCGGGTGGAGCGGTCCATGCAGGAAGCAACGCTGGGCTGGGGAGGGGCAGGGCAGGGCCTGAGGGGAAGGACAGCTCCTCCTTGACCGGAGAGGGGTGGGCACTGGAATGATGCCCATGACACTGGACTGAGGGAGAGTCATCACCAGAGAGGACAGGAGGGAGGTGCTGCTTGTCCCAGGTCTGTCCCTCAGTAGAAGGACCGACAGTCACTCTTGTATCTGCTAAAGACGGACATTTTATCCTATCGGTCTTTGGCTGGGGCCAGGGACCAGCATCCGTGTAAGTACCTGGTTCAAACGAGCGAATGAATGGATGAGTGACTGAGTTACCGTCCGTTCCACAGGCGGGCTGTGACCGGCGGGCAGCTGCAGATCCTCCTGGGATTACACTGACTCGCCTCTTTGTCACGTCACAGGAGAACTTTAAAAAAAAGAGTGACTTGTATCTGTGTGCCTGCTTGTTTTACGAAAAGGCTTCGGCTGCTTCCTAAATCACCTCTAGACGAGAGGTACTGTTGCATCAGGAAGTGTGGACCAGTTATCTCTCAGTTTAATGACCAATGTGTTTAACACACGCCAATTCCGAGAAGTTCTGAAACTAATCACCCTGAGATACGCTAGGGAATCTCTTCTTCAAAAGCAAAGTATCGGTGAAACAATTACACCCTTGCGATGAGCACACAGCCCTTCTTGACTAATATGGCGCGTTAACAAACTGGTCCCTGTGGCCCCGCCAGGGTGGCCCCTTGGCTGAGGGTCGCCCCATGCACTGTACCGAAGGCAACTGTTAGGTGTTTCTCTCTCACGTCGATGTTTGTGTGTGTGTCTCCCTCTAAGCATGTCCTTAGTGGGGGATTTAAATACATAAATAAATAAATTCATATAAAATCTTTTTCCCAAATTCTTAAAATCTGGAGATTTTGCCCTGGCCGGTTTGCTCAGCGGTTAGAGCGTCGGCACACAGACCGGAGAGATCCGGGTTTAGTTCCCGCTAAGGGCACGTACCTCAGTTGCAGTTTGTCCCTGGCCCCAGTTGGGGTCGTGTTGGTGGCAACCAGTTGATGTCTCTCTCTCACATGGATGTTTCTCTCTCTCTCTTCCTCCCTCCCTCCCTCTTGCTCTATCTGAAGATAAATGCAAAAAATGTCCTTGGGTGAGGATAAAAAAAAATCTGGAGATTTTATTTGGGCTCAAGTCCTAGAAGGAACACGCATGAGGCCTGCAGCTGGGGACTGTCACTAGTTCGCGTGTCCTGGAGGCGCTCGGCTCAGTCCATGTCTGCAGGGGGGAGGGGTGGTCCACTGCCCGTGGTGCGTGAGCCCCGCTGGGTGTGGAGCGTGGAATCTTCCTGACGTGGCCTTTCTCTCTTCCGCAGGCGAGCGCCCCTATCAGTGCCCGTACTGTGACAAGGGCTTCAGCAAGAACGACGGGCTGAAGATGCATGTTCGGACGCACACGCGGGTAAGACGGCGCTCACCTCTCTCCGGGAGGCGGGTAGGACAGGCCCACCTCACCAGGGGCGGCGAGTAGGACGGGCCCACCTCACCAGGGGCGGCGGGTAGGACGGGCCCACCTCACCAGGGGCGGCGGGTAGGACGGCGCCCACCTCACCAGGGGCGGCGGGTAGGACGGGCCCACCTCACCAGGGGCGGCGGGTAGGATGGGCCCACCTCTCTCCGGGTGGTGGGGGCCATTCTGTTAGACATGCTCAGCTCTGCAGGACGAAGCACAGGCGGAGTGTCTGAAATGACGTGTGTAGCTTTACGGTGGACATTTGGGGATACATTGTCTTTAAAAGGCATAACCAGGAAAGGAACAAAAATCCAAGCCCCCGGTGGGTCCCCATTCTTGGAACTGTGTCTCGGGTTTTAGGAGTAACAGGAGTTAAAAGTGACACACTTCTAAATAAACAGGTTGTAACATTTTTATATCAAACACTAGAAGGTGGCATCTTGCTGGGCATTTGCCAGGAGCGTGCTGGGACAGGCGTCTGTCAGCCTGTGGTCGTGACTGCGAATGAGCAGCATGTTTGCCAGAAACACGCTGAAGACGGGGTGAATTGTGGGGGCAGGCGGAAGGCCAGGCCCGCCCGCTGCGTGTCGGGGTGCCCGGTGCTGCCTGTCTCCTCCCCAGGTGCCCTCCGCACCTGTGCCGTGCGCACCTGTGACTGGACCGCTCTCCCCTGACTCAGGTGGCCCTCCCGTCGCAGGCATCAGCCGAGCACCCAGGGCCTGGCTGAGCAGGGAGACGTCAGCCAGGGTGCAGTGCGGCCTGTGGACGGAGCGGCGTTGACAACACGCGCCTTGCGGGCTGTGCCTGAGACTCTCATTTTTCTTTTTCACGCGCTGATTCTATTTGCTCGCAGACAGCTCTAGCTTCGAACTCTGCTTCCTAAGCATCGGCTAAATACCGACATCCTTTGCGTATTAGTGCAACTTTCTGAGCGTGAAGGAGAGTGATGGTCAGCTGGTGTCATCAAATTAACATCAAGAAACAAAGGAGACTGAAAAAATGTCAAGAGCAGTGTGGGGGACGTCTGGCCCGTGGGCCGTAGGAGGCCCTCGGAACCAACACCCGCTCACAGCACACGCCTCACCGAATTAGCGCGACCAAATACAGCGGGCCGATTTTTAAGCTGATAATTTTGTATGGCCCCCGAATGATGTGATAAATATCCAAATGGCCTTTGGGAGAAAAAGGTTCCCCACCCCTGGTCTGGAGGAACAATCTGTAAGCTCATAGTTTCCCGGTATTATCTGGGTTTGACTCAGAAAAGATCCCATTACACGGGGACCGTGAACATGTCGTTTTCATTTTTGCATCCTCATCGCGACCAGGAGATAACCATACTTCCAGACGTTTTCTTATCGTATTGCAGAAGCGAATTTTAACTCTATTATAATCACAAAAATGACTGCACTTGACTTGGCAAGTCGCAGCTTTAAGAAGCGTTAGTGGGTCCCCACGACACTTCTACCCCCGGGGTGCCTGCCGTGGTGACGCCCGGGCGCCCCGGGAAGGAATGAGACCCTCACTCTGGGTGCTGACCACGGGCTAGGGCCCAGGCGGGGAAGGGAATTCTGCTAAAATCCTGAGAGGCTGAACACTGGGCGTCCAGGGTCGGTCACTTACTCGTTTCCTTCCCCTTGTTTCTGCGGTTTGGTTTCCAGCCGTGGACTGCGTCCTGTCTCCCCTGTGCTCCTCCTGCGCCGTCTGTGGTTTGTTATCAGTTTCCCGTGTTCGCTTCCGACCCACTGGGTGGCCCCGGCCTCCTCCTCCGCGCTCTGACAAGGCAGGCGGTTCAGTGTCTGTCCCCGTGACGTTCAGTTCACCTGCTTGTCCGGTGACCTCGGTCCACCCAGGTCTCGTGACGTTCGGTTCAAGGCAGCAGCACAGACTGTCCAGCTTTTGTCCTCATCAGGATGGCGTGGGGGTGGTGTTCTCTGGGGCTCCCACGTCCTTAGGGCGCCGATTAATTCCTAGCGGCCTAGGGCTGCGGGGCTCATGTCTTCCACTTAATGACTGTAGATGAACTTTCTGCTTAGGAGCCGATAAACACAGGGATCCTTACCCTCGGGGTCCAGGGAGCATCTCCTCTCTGCCAGGGAGGCCCCTGTGCAGGCCCCGGGTGGTCCAGTCCCCATGTGGTCCTGGCCTTGAGGACGGTTCCTCCGAAGGGCTATGTCTCCCGGGCCAGGGTGGCCCAGCAGCCGGGGGCGGGCCTGGTCCTGAGAGGTTCTGTCTCTCTCCAGGCTTCTGTCCCACACAAGACTCAGGCGTTTCTCTCTGCCTGGGTGTCGGAGCTTTCTGAGGGGAGCAGAGCCTCTCTGGGGACGGGTCTCACCTTGGACACTGTGGCTTGAATTGAACCCAAGGTTTGAAAGCAGTCTGGAGAGGAACTGTGACATTTCCCGGGGCCCTGAGGCTTGGAAATGCTCCCGGAGCACTGCCAGCCGCCCCCCCCCCCACTGTGCAGTCGGAAAGCAGGTCTCCCCCAGAGCTACCACCCCCCAGGGCTACCCCCCCCAGAGCTACCCGCCCCCAGGGCTACCCCCCCCAGGGCTACCCTCCTCCGGGGCTACCCTTCCCAGGGCTACCCCCCCCAGGGCTACCCTCCTCCGGGGCTACCCTTCCCTGGGCTACCCTCCCCAGAGCTACCCTCCCCAGGGCTACCCTCCCCCAGAGCTACCCCCCCCAGAGCTACCCCCCCCAGAGCCACCCTCCCCCAGGGCTACCCTCCCCAGAGCCACCCTCCCCCAGGGCTACCCTCCCCAGAGCCACCCTCCCAGAGCTACCTTCCCCTAGGGCTACCTTCCCCCAGAGCCACCCTCCCCCAGGGCTACCCTCCCCAGAGCCACCCTCCCCCAGGGCTATCCTCCCCCAGGGCTACCGGCGGAGGAGATCAGGGGACCCTGCGCCATGCAAGTCCCTGGAGTGCGCTGCCCTGGGCCAGGGCTCACCTGGGAATCACGGCCTCAGCTTTGCAGTCTGAGACACCGCGAGCAGGTCCAGTCGCTGTGGGGACCGAGGGTCCGTGCCCCTAACCAGCCACTTGGTAAACATTCAGTTCAAAATAAGCTGTTGGCTGTAACCATTTAGCACTCATGTCTCCTTTAACCGCTTTTGACTTTCACCACCAGAAGCACCTGGACCAATTAATTAGGAAGTTATTTCAGAAACTCTGCCTTTGAACGCCACTGCCTCACCCCAATTAGCCCGCGCAGGTGTGCGGGTCTGTTCCCAGCTGCTCTCTGGCCAGGTTCGTGCTTGCAGATATTAAGATGCAATTAGCTGCCAGTGGGTGAGAGTAGCCGCAGGTCTTTGCTCTGTGTTTCATTCCTCTTCTCTTCGGAAGCTGCCTGTCCCGACCCCCAGGTGTGCAGCGTGGGTGTGACAAATGTGCGCCCTTCGCACCGTGTCCTGACACCGCGGCCCGCCCTGGGGCTCCAGCCGGGACTGCAGCGGGCGCGGCGTTCCCAGACCTCGGGCACTGCCGGGTGTGCCCACGGGCTTTCGGGGGGCGCTGACGGACCGATTAGGGAACTGCACAGGAGAAACCTGCCCGGACCGTGCAGCTGGCGGATGATGTGGCCCCATGAGGCGTGATGCCCAAGGGAAGGAAGCGGCATGGTTGTAGCTGCCGGAGGAGGAGGGGGAGGAGGAGGAGGAGGAGGAGGGGGGAGGGGGAGGAGGAGGAGGGGGGAGGGGAGGGGAGGGGGAGGAGGAGGGGGAGGCGCGGGGGCGGTGAGAATGTGGCGATGAGTTTCTGCGGCTCCGTGAAGAACTGCAGGGGGTCGTGTAGGGGACTCAGTGTGGAGTCCTCCTGATGCACGGTGAGGCCTGCCTGCACACAGACCATGCAGAAGCCAGGTCTGGGACCCGGCTGGGGTGCCATTCGCGTTGAGCTTGGAGGAAATGGGGGGGCTTTCAGGCACACAGAAGTGCCAGGGCCCATGGGAGAGGTGCCTCCAGCTCCGGCCAGGTGTCCACGTGGCTGTGACAATGTCCACATGGCCAAGTGACAATGTCTATATGACTAATGTCCACGTGGCTGAGTGGCAATGTCCACGTGGCTGAGTGGTGATGCCCACGTGGCTGGGGTGGCGATGTCCACGTGGCTGAGTGACAGTGCCCACATGGCTGAGCGGCGATGCCCACGTGGCTGAGTGACGATGTCCACATGGCTGGGTGGAGATGTCTACGTGGCTGGGTGGCGATGTCCATGTGGCTGAATGACAGTGCCCACGTGGCTGAGCGGCGATGCCCACGTGGCTGAGCGATGATGCCCACGTGGCTGGGTGGAGATGCCCACGTGGCTGGGTGGAGATGTCTACGTGGCTGGGTGGCGATGTCCACAAGGCTGGGTGACGATGCGTGTGGTCTGAATGCCATGAGCCCTGGAAGCATGTTTTGCTGGGTGCGGCGTGTTTTACTTTGAGCACGGGAGGGGCATGAGCAGCTCTCTCAGAAAGGTTGCTGCGAAGTCCCGCTCAAGGGGGACGTGAAGAAGGTTGGTGGCAGCCAGGTGACCTGGACAGGGAGCCATGCCGGGTGGCCGTGGTCGGGGTACAAGAGACCCCTTTGACACAGCACTGACACGTGAGGGTGCCTACGAGAGTCCTGGGTGAACTGGGCGTCCTGGAAGGGGCCATGGGGCATGGTGTGTCCCGTGCGCTGGAGGGACACTCGGGGGGCACATCTGTGTAGGGTAAGTGCTCCGGAGCCTGCTCAGCTACTTCTGTGTTCATAATGAGGTAAGAGGAAGAGATAAAAACACATTTAATAACTTTTTAAAAAGCTTATTATGATTCCAAAGGAAACTTTTTAATCTGTTTTTATTTTTTTATTTTTCTGAACTTCACCGTCTTTGTTCTGTGTGGCCCCGAGGATATGGCTCGTGGCCATGCTTGGAAATGTCCGTAATTCGGTTTTATTGTTTCTAGAACCCACATACTTCTTGG